TGTCGACAACCAGGAGCCAACACAGGGGCGAGATTACTCCTCCCTGTGGACAGCCCCATCTAAGGTTTACGATTATTGAACAGTACCCCAGAGTTGAAGATGCTTTCCTTGTCCAAAGCATGAAAATGAGCCAATTTGTTGTTGTCTCATCCACGCCTTTGCTGGCAAGTGCTTTCTATAGCTTCTACGTGTACATTGTCAAATGCCCTCTGTACGTATGTCCAAACAGCAGCCAAGCGCATACTGTCCACATGCCAGGCTGTGTTCTATTCTCAAAACAACATCATGTAAGGCTGTTTCTGTAGAAAGGCCTGCCTGCWATGCATGTTCTTTAAGACTTAAAGGTGATAGCATTAAAACACCATCCCTTACACGTCGATCTATTAACCTCTCCCTTCAGCAAGAAAGATGTTAAGCTGATGGGTCTGAAGGATTTTGCTTCTTTATAGGTTGGTTTGCGAGGTTTGGGCAGAAAGACAATCTTTGCTGTCTTCCACCCAATTTTGCTAGACAAGCAGCATATATTCTAGAAATTGTGTCCAGAAGCAATTCAAGTCCTCTTTGGAGAAGAGCTGGAAAAATACCATCTGGACCACAAGATTTGAATGGGTCAAACATATTAATTGCCCATATTACTTTGCTTTTAGTAACAATACTTGCAGCTCTGTTCCAGTCRTCCTGTGTTGGATTTGAGTTAGCAACTATGACAGGCTGTTCAGTCTCTTCTGCCCCAGGAAAGTGTACCTGGAGGAGATGCTGAAGCACACTTGTCCGTGTGACTGTCGGTCCTTCTGGTGGAATAATGAAGGATAGATAGTTGACTGGATCCTTTCTGAGAAGTTTGTAAACTTAGAAGAGGCTCTAGGCCCTTTAACATCTTCACAAAACTTTGTCCAAGAAAGTCTCTTACATTACCTTAAAACACTTTTATAGTGATTACGGGACTGTACGTACATACTGTTCCCAACTGGTTTTACTTGGTTGGGACCTGGATCTTTGCCATTTACACCTTACTGCCTTGCGGAGACCAGACAACTCTGGAGTCCATCAGGCCGGCTGCTTTGACGGCCTCCAGACTTTCTCTGGACAGGCAGACTTATTGGCAGTTTGCACAGCATCAGTCATGCTTGTGACCGCTGTCACAATGTCTTGCACCGTTTTGATCCTGGCAATTCTCCCACCCATTAACTGGGATAAACTGCTGATAAACAGATTCCAGTCAGTGTTTTTTGGGTTTCTGTAAGTGACTGGGTATGGTTTCCCCATCTTCAGCTTAAATTGAATTCGTCAATGGTCTGACATAGTTTCCTGTAGGGATACTTCCCAGTCACATACTTTGTTTGCCAGGTCCATAGACCCGACTGTTATATCAATGACCTCCTCCCTATTAGTTTGGAAGGTAGGTACATTGCCCTGATTAAAGACTAGCAGGTCTTCTGTCAGCAAGTATTCTAACAGAGATCTGCCTCTAGGGTTAATTTCAGCGCTCCCCCAGCACACATGATGGGAATTGGCATCACAACCAATGTGCACCGGGATGCCCTTTTCTTTAGCATAATCGACTTTTGCCACAAACTCCTGGGATGGAGGTGGCTGCTGTGAATCAAACGGCAAATAAACTGAGACTGCAATGATCGGTCTGGATTCGCCATTTGCCTGAATGTCCAACTGCACTGCTACAGCATCACCTGTTGTCAGGTGGGGCAGTGCAGTGTATCTTACACCTCGTCAGGACTACTGCTGCACTGGGTCTGCGGCTGCTCACATCACATGGAAGTGTGCTCCCAGGAAATCCCAGGCCTCGTACCATAGACTTAACTATCCAAGGTTCCTGGATCAAGGCTATGCCTGTATGCAGCCTACTAAGAGGGCAGGTACACAACAATGTACTTGCATCTTTACAATGATGCAAGTTGCTCTGTATAAATTCCATCATCCCTAAAACTACAGAGATTAGGACCCTTTTCTCCATCAGAGGACACCAACATCATGTCGGTGTCCTCATCACCTGGAGACCCCAGCGCTTGTGAGGCTCGGACCACTCCCCGCTGGGGTGCAGTCAAGGGGCTACACTTGCACTAGGTACTCCCTGTAGACACAGCGATGCAAGCAGGTCCTGGGACCAGAGTAAAGGTTGTTCCAGTCACTATATTAATAGCCCATCCAGCCTGGTTCCCCACCATACAGGCCNGGATATTCTTACTTTGTCCAAACTCGTTGTAAAACCATTTGAAAGAGTCTGAGTCAAAGGTGGGGGATTGACAAGGTATCACAACTCGGCATCCTGGCCAGAAACGAAGATCTGCGCCTGTTAAATAATGTTGCTCACTGTTAGAAGCTAAAACAATGTTTTATAAAATTGTATTCAAAACACAATAATGACATGATCACTTATCGTTTCCTGAGGAAACCCATATGGTCCAAGTAATCAGTAAAACAATTTGAATACATTTCATTTGAAGTGAAGCCGATGAGCTCATCTCTCTGCTGAAACAGAAAATGTTCTGAATAAAAGTTTAAAAAAAAAGACTCCCTTTGTGGTCACACAGTCACTGCGCATCAACACTTAGTTCAGAGGCTCTGTGTCGTATCAGAGAGTTTTAGATCGAGAGCTGTGAACAAACCCACGCTGACACATCGGAAGTGGCCCCACACCTACCTC